CCCGTACAACTTGTTTTAATAGTTTTTTAGAATCCCAATAGCCATCTCGATTGGCACCCAAAACCTGTAAATTTATAAAATAAAAATAAAAAAAATTAAAATAATATTGGCTTTACCATTTTCATATTCTTTGAAAATATACCATCATTACGCGCGCTTCTTCTTGTTCGTCTTTAAGTGACCCTATGGTTTCTGTTATAAAGTCGCTCACATATACAGCAGAACCCAACCCTTTTTTTCGCAATGGTTGCTCTTTTCCCAGACCCCATACAGAATGCGGCCCATCATAAACATAAAAAGTAGTTTCGTCGTGAGTCACCCATACGTGCTCCTTTTCATTATTGTTTAAGTCTGGAAATGTTCTTACTTTGCATTCAGGATCAATCCATTTAGACATTAACCGCTCAAGTTAGCCAACCTCTTCAAGAAATTTTTGACGATATTCGACAACATCTGGGCATTCGTGACCATCTACATATGTACCTTTTTGGTAACGTTGATACCTAAAACCAAGTTTATGCATCCATCGACGGCAAGTTCGGACTGAAATCTTTTGAACAGATTCGATGTTTAGCTGGGGAAGAATATTTTGTTCAAAGTAGTCCTTGACCATGATAGGGTCTACTTTAAACTTTTGAGAACGTAAATAGGCTGCCAACTGGATGGAAACCAACTCATCATGAAGAAAACTTTTTGACGGGAATCTACCTCGAAGGTCTGGTTCAATTAATTCCTTTTTCATACATTTATTCGCCCACCTTCTGATACACCTCGCAAGCCAAGGACCACCATCAACCATATTTGTAACTGCTTTTGCTGCTTCCATTTTTTTTGACCTTTTAGAAGCAACCGAAGAAAATAAAGAACTGACAAATAATGAGCTTTTTCTATTTTTGAAAGTGTTTTTCCACTCATTATTTTGTTTACGAACTCAATTGCGCTGTATATAGTTTCTTTTTCCTCACTCAATTCCTTGCTCAATTTCTCGCTCAATTCCTCACTCAATTCCTTGCTCAATTCCTCACTCATTCCTCGCTCAATTCCTCGCCTAATTCTTCGCTCAATTTATCTCTCAGTTCATCGTTCCACAGTCTTTCATTTAATTCTTGAACCTATTAATTAATATCATTAATTTTTATGTTAAATATTGATTTCTCTTTAATACAGTAATATAGTCTTCCTACCTGATTCTCTTGATCTTGAAGGTTCTCGGTATTTTCATTATTATTAGCAGCTGACAGTTGAGTATTATTGAAATAGTGAGAAAGTTTTAAGCTTCCTTTTGCAGCTTCTCTGAATGCTTTATTTTTTCTTTGTCTCGTACGTTTAGAATTTCCGATATAGACAGCAGGTCGCTTTTTTTTTTCAAAACTCATTTGTGAGGCTGCAAGAAGTTGCTCGATGATTGAATTTTCTCCATAGTTATCTAAATCGTCATCTGAACTTTCACTTGAATTTTCGCTACTTGAATTAAGATCAATAAGTGAATAATTTGTACGTGCAAAGCGAGCTATCTCAGCTCTTTTTTTTTGTAACTTTCTAGTGTTTTTAAGTTTAGGCATTGCGAAATTTAAATTGTAATGTTTTTTTTGTGAGGCTTTTTTTTAATTTCTTTATGCGATACAATTTTACATTATATAACAAGACCATTATATGAAAAGAAAACAAAGGCCAGATAATCTAAATGTTCATAGCGAAACATGTAACAACAGGCTTGAGTTAACAACTTCATTATTTGCTTGAAATTGGTTAATGTGTGGGAAGAAAAATTCAGCGTATTCCAATAATCATCTGCCTTTTTATATGCGATCATAATCGTTTTTTACGACAATGTTAACATTAATAGTAAAGTAATATGTTTAATTTACGCCTTTACATTAATGTAACATTGCGCGAACAAAATAATACTATTACGTACATATGAATCCTCTGATTGCACATGTTATATGTACATACTGTGGTTTCCAAAAATATACACTTTCAGAAAGATTAACCTTTTTTACATTTTGGTATAATTTAACTTCGTTTTACTTTCATTTAGTTATTTACACGATCATTACTGTATCAGTATTGCTGCCAAGGGAAAACCTGTAATCGGGCTTTCAATTATATTTTATGTCACACAAAATAAAATTGAAATCCATATTACAGGTTTTTTCTTGGCAGCACTCATATGAGTACTACCTGTCATTAGAGATAAAGATGAGTAAGGTAATTACAGTACTTATTATATAAAATGTCACATCACGATTTTCTAATACTGTAATATATACTTGCGACTAAAAAATAATATATTATATTATCATTATGTGATGTAACTTTTTAATATTGGGGTTGCAAATTTATTGGTTGTGATTATACGTAGGTTTTTTATTTTAACCTTTTAGGAAATAAGCCAATAGAATCGCAAGCACATGATTTAAATCATCGTAATTGGCCAATTTACCCAGCGCCAAATTTCTGTTCTATTATAAAAGTTGAAGATATTTAAACTGTTATAACTTTTTTAAAACATAAGATATTAAAAATCTGTTTTACAGATTTGTAGTTTAGATTATAAATAATAAATTTGTAAGAGCATTTTTTAAAATAATAATTTTTTATTAAATTATTAAGCTTTAAATAAAGATAAAAAAATTGGATATTTCTTGCTGTCCGGTACTGTAGCACAAATAATATAGTGTTTAGAAGCAAAGGTAGAATTGAAAACTGGTTCTCATCTACTCGAGTGGAGCTAATAGCTTGTTTAGTAGCAATCCTTTTGATGCCAAATGAGTGTATAGTAGAAATAAGAACAGATAGTGCCTGTGCAATCTCTGCAGTCAAGAAATATTTGAAGAAAGGAAATATACAAGAATAGCTAAAGTTTAAGAACAGCAATATTCTGCGTGCAATTCAAAAAGCCTACAAAAGCAAAACATTACTACTGAAATTTACAAAAATCAAAAGCTACTCAGGTAATACTTATAACAACTTAGCATATACCTTGGCAAAAGAGGGTTCATAAATAGCTTATGCTATGAGACTAAACAATATTAGCAATAGTAGTATAAAGTATATATCTGAATAGAAGGGAATAAATCTTGAAACTCCACTAAGGACATTCATTAAAATAGTAGTCCAAATATTATCCAAAGCAGAATAGACATGGCTAAGAAAAAAGAATGATGACGAATACCAATCAAAAATTTAGAAGCAAGACTAGAAAGCTTCAAAGGAATATTAGAAGGATGCTGCAAATAATATTAAAATTCTGAAGTAAACCATCTACGTCTTTTCAAGATCAAGTATATCGAAAACCTCCTTCTAATAGTTAGAGTTCTAAATAGTAAAAAGCTATACCTATATAATAACAGCTTATGCAAAAGGTATAGTAGAGAAAATGAAACAACAGATCACCTAATCACATGTGAAAAAGCATATCAGGCACTAGAAAAAATTGAAAAAGAAGCATAGGAATGACTACAGAAAGATAAAAGAAAAGATAAAAACTAGAACTTAAGAGACTTGCAAAAAATCTTTCAACAGGAATACAAAAAGAAATCGAAAAAAAGGAAAGAATAGATGAGAGAAATCCTATGCAAAGAAGATGCAGAAAAAATCCAGGCACTACTAGGCTCAAAAAGAATAACAACGAGATTTTAGAGCCTTTTCTGTCATATTTAGATAGAATTGGTATATAAAAAACTATGGAAAAAATGATGCAAAAACATAGAAGTATAGAAGAAAAAAGAAAACATTTCTAGAAAAGAAAAATTTACACAGGTGGAAAAAAAGAAAAAATAATCCAAAAAGGAAGCTACAACAAGAAAAGTGAGTAGTAGAGTAGACGAAAATACAGAAAATTGTAATATTAGTCTTAAAATAGTATTAGATAGTATAGCTCAGGAAGTAAAAAAAGGAGTAGTAGCAAGTTAGTTTTTAAGTTAGTCATGATGGGCTGTGGTGTCTTTTCTATTAGCTATATATAATTTATATATGTTATAAGTTATATTAGTATAGGACAAAACTTACTATGGCAGATCGTACATAGATATCCTCAGGATAACCAGGTAAGTCAAGGCTTAAAAAATTAGACATTAGATAGTATATAGCTAATTAATACTGTTTTCAATTAGAAAACAAATCTAAATAAAGTCGTGGCATAACTGCTGAATTTTAAAAAAAAATATTATAAAGAAATTTATAGAGCAAGCAAAATACTCTTATAATATCAGACTTCTGATTTCTTCAAATATTATGATAGTGAACCTTACTGACAAATCTATCTTATCAGAAGACCTACAAGATCTCAAATATCTAAATATTACAATGCCTATTACTACTATATCACTACTCAAAGAAACAGCAAAACTACTTAGAATACAATATTACTTCAACAAAATACCAAACTATTGAATTCAAATTAAAATATCAAACAATGAAATTAACTAATATAAAAACAACAAACTAACTTTACCTAAAACAAAAGAAAAAATTCTTAAGAAACTATTAGCACTTAAGGCTTCTACTGAAAATCTTAAACTTCTAATTACTCAACAAACAAATATAACACCTACTCTTAAAATACTTAAACAATATTTCACTATCAATTATATCTCAGAAAATATCTTAAACTTACCTACTCTCCTAGAGCTAACCTAGGATATTTTCAATATTACTAATAAGCAGTAATAGTAAGAGAGCTACTAGTACATTACAAACTCTAAGCAACAAAAATAATTCAATACCAAACACAAATACAAACAATACAAAACATCTAAACTCTAATAATACAAACATAAAAGAGCTACCTAGTATAAATAACTATATCAATATAGCAACATATAATATCCAAAGACTCAACAACAAATTAAAATATCAAGTATAGTTAGAATTCTGCTAAGAACAAAATTTACACATAATTAGTATAACTAAAACAAAGTTTCTAAACTCAATATATACAGAGCTTAATATCGCAAATTCCTTTTACTACCTATATATATCAAACTATAATAGTAATATAGCAAAAAAACAAAAAGTAAGTATAAAAATAGCTATTGCTATCACCAAACTCCTTTGATCTTATATTCACAATATTCAAGAATTATATAGTACTGCTATCTCAATTGATTTCTTCTTTTTTCAATACAACAAAATTAGAATAATCTCAGTATATATACTACTAAACAACCTTGAGTTGAAAAAACAAACCCAAAATACAATTTTAAACTAGATAAGATTTGTTAACAATAAGAACTACAACATAATTATCATGGGAGACTTTAATCATAATAGTACTAGAGACTCAAAGACAAAACTATTTCTTCTACAAACCTTAGTAAACAGTAGTCTGTATAGTTTACTCCAATACTTTAATATCAATATATCTACTTGATTAAGACAAAACAGAAACAACCAAATTGATGATATATAGATATCAAGTAGTATTATTCATATGTTTTCACTACTAGAACTAAGTAGTGCTGAAAATATCATAAATAGTAATCATAAAATAATTACCTTAGCTTGGAGTTATAACTCATATATTAAAAACTCTAGAAGCAAACAACACAAATATACTATATACGAATACAATTAAATAACAAAAAATAGCTGAAAAGAATTCTCTAATACTATAACAGAGATGTTAAGTAAAGAAGAGCTAAAACAGCTAATAACAAATAAAAAGAACCTTAACAAATATTGGCACTATTTTAATAAAGTAGTTAAAATAGTAGTAAAAAAGAATATACTAATAACCAAAGTTAGTATATGCCAGGTATATACATTTTCTAACAAGGTCATACAACTACATATTTCATTTCAAAAAATTAACTAAATACTCAGACAACTTAACTATAACAATAACACAAAAACAAACTAACTATCAAACCTCGAATATATAAACAATGAACTTAAATATATAAGCAAAAATATAGATGGTAAAAATACAAAGATCACTAATAGCTATTTGATAAAGAATAATTTTACCCAAACAATATATATACCAAAAGATCTATAAAAACAATATATGCAGTAAAAAAACTAGAGAACAACATAGCATATAATAATAAAATTAATCAATATATAATGTACAAATACTAGAACTTTAATGCAGATACCTCCAAAATAATTTATAGTATTCTGCAAAGACAATCAGACCCTATAATTATCTGCAATATTACTACAACTGACAATATAATTACAAGTCTTAGCAAAATTAAAGATGAAGTTAGAGCCTATTACAAAACTTGAACAAAAAAAATTCACCAAATTGGCAATACTGAAACAACTAAAAAGAGGACTATAAACCAATCAAACAAGTTTTAGAAAAGTAGTATAAAGATACAACTCAGTCTATGATGATAGATGAACTCAATATAGCTATTCAAGATATACTAATTAACAAAGCAACAGAACCACAATGTATATCTAATAAAATGCTCAAATATCTAAGTACCTATAGTATCAATTTACTACTGAATATTTTTAATGCCTGTATTAGATTACAACAAATTCTAAAAATGTAAAGACATACTAGCATATATCTGATTTCAAAAAAAACCAAAGTTTATAAACA